CTTCAGAAAGGCCAGTAAAGAGCTCTGGCTCAGCCGCTCCCTGAATTCTCATCTGCTGCCATGGGTCCCACCGGACGCTTCCCTTCAGTTCTACCAGGCAGGGGCAACCTGCTCTCTGAGACCTGGAGGTAGATACAAGACTTCCTTCCAAGCCTTATCTTAGACCCCACCTAGGCCTGCAAACTCTTTCTCTTCCTATCTGCAACAGTCACACTGAGAGAACACTGTAGGTGTCATGACCCGGGGTGGTGAGAAAACAGGAGAGAAGGAAGATCAAGTGTCTCACTCACCTCCAAGAGAGGATGACAAAAAGTACACCCTCCACAAACACGAGGATTCAAGGGGTGAAGGCCCTGAGGGCCCTGCCCACCAGGGTCAGAGACCCTCTGACCTAGAGATGGAAGTTGGTCAGTGGTGCTGGCAGGAATCAGGCTCTGGGGAGCAAACATAAAGGATGTTCATTAGGAAAGGGTCGTTATGACAGGTAATACTGCAGAGATGACTATGTCCCAGGCATCTCTCCTCAATGTTTCCACATGCCCTTTACTATTCTCCACAGGACTATGGAGTGGATGCCATTAGTACTTCCATTTTACCAGCTAGAGGTGAATTGCACTGCTCAAAATCCAACAATTCCCATCTTTAAAACACAAATTCTTCACAGGGATGGAAGGATTTTCTAGGCAAATGGCTCTGCCTGTCTGATGGTAAAGGGGCAGGGTGCAGTATTGGGTGGCAGAGCCCGGGATGCTGTGGGATGAGTGTGGGACAGTGTGGGTGTAGCTCACCTCAGTGGCCAAAAACTAGAAAGTCAGTCATGACAGACAGTTGGTTCTGCTGGCTTTGGGTCAGAACGATGGTTGGTATAGGGAAGGATACTCCAAAGTGTAACAATGACCCATGGTTATTTATCTATAGACTTGTTCAGGAAACATGCTAACTCCCGTTCACCTCTGCCCATCAGGGGACAACAAAGGTGTTTGTGCCCAAGACTGCTGCCCTCAGTGAGCTTTCTAGCTGCTTCTGGAAAGCAGGGAGCCAATAAGTGAGATCCCCGAGGGAAGAGAAGGTGGGGGAAGTGGTGGAAGGTGCAGTGGTGAGCCGTGGGAGAGTGCATGTTACTCTGTACTTTATGATGTGTGGATGCCTAGAAAATCTCACCAGCCTGGCAGGTGCACCCCACCCAGTGCTGCCCCATTCTTCCAAGCACAATAAATCCCACCTGAGTCCTGTCCTTCCTGTGCAAGCAACTCTTTCCTCAGCCTGAACTCTCAACACCTTCCTTACCTAAGGCTCTCACATAAGGCATTTCCCTCACATTTCCCCTGCTCTAAACCATCTGGGGCTTGTGCTGCCATCTAGTGACCTCCCCAACAAACAGAGCCCCATGGAACTGGTTCAGTTTGCCAGTTCTCAGCTGCTGCCTCTGCTTGGCTTGCTGTGCCTTCAGACACCCCAGCACAGGCCAGGCCTCGGCCTCTCCATGCTTGTCTTTGGCCATGTGAACTACATCACATGGTGCCCCTTGGTTCTCCCTGGCAGAGGCAACCTCCTCTCTGAGACCTGGAAGTAGATAAAAGTCTTCCTTCCACGCTTCATTCTCATCCCCTCCTAGGCCTGCAAATTCTTTCTCTTCCTATCCCAAACATCTACACTGCAGGTGTCATGGCCCAGGGTGGTAAGAAAACAGGAGAAAGGAAGGCCAAGTGTCTCACTCACCTTAAATAGAAGATGATAAAACTGCACCCTCAGAAGGACACCACAGACAGCAGGGATTAAGGGGTGAAGGCCTTGAGGGGTGCTGCCCACCAGGGTCAGAGACCCTCTGACCAGAGATGGATGTTGGTCAGTGGTGCTGGCAGAAATCAGCCTCCTGGGATCAAAAATGAAGGATGTTCATTAGGAAAGGCTAGCTATGCTGACAACACTGGAGAGATGACCATGTCCTAGGTATCTCTCCTCAGTGTTGTAGACGTCATTCTTATTCTCCACAGGGCTATCGGGTAGGTGCCATTAGTGTTTCTATTTTACAGGATACATGTAAATTACACCGCTCACAATCCAACAATTAGTATTAGACACAAGTTCTTCAAAGGGCTGTGGATGGCAGAATTTTTCAAGCAAATGGGCTCGGCCTGAGGCTGGTGAAGGACAGGTTGAAGTTCAAGGTAGCAGGGCCCTCGGGTGCTTAAGAAAGCCGATGCAGAATGTGGGCCCAGCTCTCCTCAGTAGTAGAGCAATAGTCAGTGAGAGGCAGTTGCTTCTGCTGCCTTCAGTGGAGCACTATGGTTGGTCGTGAGAACGGTACTCTGATCCTAAAGACAACCCAGCCCAACACGCAGTTACATATATTTTATTTCTCTTCAGAGACTTTCAGTTTCACTTGCCTGGGATGCCTCTAAACATCAGGGAGACAACAAAGAGTGTTTCTGCCCAAGCACACCTGTCCTCAGCGAGCTTTCAACCCGCTGTTTGAGTCTAGGCAAGCAATTAGTGACACACATTAAGGAAGACAAGGTGGGGAGAACAATGCAATGATGTAGGAGTGGGAAAGTTCTTTTTATCTTCTGTATTTTATGAAGTTTGGATGCCTCAAAGTCTTGTGGCCTGGGAGGTTTTTCCTTCTCAAGGCAGCCCACTCTTCCAAACACAAGAAATCCCACCAGAGCCACATCCTCCTTATGCCAAATTACATTTCCAGCATCTATACCCTGAACACCTTCCTTACCTAACTCTCTCACATGAGCTATTTCCCAGGCATTTCTCTCTTCTAAAGCATCTGGGGCCTCGTGCCAACATCTAGTGACCTCCCCAGTAAGCCGCACCCAATGGAATTGTTCCAATTTGCCACTTGTAAACTTCTGACTCTGCTCTGGCTTGCTGTGCCTGCAGAAAGCCCTATGAAGGCCCTGGCTCAGCCCGTCCCCTCATCCTCCTCTTCTGCTAGGAGACCCACCCAAGATGGTTCCCCTTGGTTCTCCTTGGCAGGGGCGACCTCCTCTCTGAGACCTGGAAGTAGATAAAGTCTTCCTTCCAGGCCTCATTCTCGTCCCTTCCTTGACCTGCAGACTCTTGCTCATCCTCTCTCCAACATCCACACTGGGAGAACACTGCAGGTGTCATGACCTGGGGTGGTCAGAAAGCAGGAGAAAGGAAGGCCAGGTGTCTCACCCACCTTAAGCAGTTGATGACAAACTGCACCCTCAGGAGGGCTCCACAAACGGAGGATCAAGGGGGGAAGGCCCTGAGGGGCCCTGCCCACCGGGGTCAGAGACCCTCTGACCAGAGATGGAAGTTGGTCAGTGGTGCTGGCAGGAATCAGTCACCTAGGTGTAGAAATGAAGGATGTTCATTAGGAAAGGATCGTTATGCCGCTAACACTGTAGAGATGACAATTTCCCGGCCTTCTCTCCCCAGTGTTTCAACATGCCCTGTGCTGTTCTCCACAGGACTATGGAGTAGGTGCCATTAGTGTAGTATTCTTTTTCAGGGGCTCAATGTGAAGTAAATTTCTCACAATCTAAGAATTAGTGTCAAAGCGTAGATTCTTCACAGCGCTGTAAGTGAGTGGAAGGATTTCCTCAGCAAATGGACTCTGCCCTGAATAATGATGAAGGAGCTGGGTGCAGATCCTGGTGGTGGGAGCCCCTGGGTGCTGTGGGAAGGTGTTGGAGAATGCGGGACTAGCTCACCTCAGGACCCGAGAAAGGGGAAGTCGTCTGTAAGAGACGGCCGGACGCACGCCTTCAGGCGAGAAATATGCCTTGGGTCAAGACAGGATACTCCTGTGTGTAAAGACAACAGTGCGGGTAAGCCACAGCCAGCTCTCCCGGGTGCCAAGACAAAAGACTCACCAGGGAAACTCACGGCATTCCGCACGAGTTCCGGAGAGCCTACTTTCACTCTGTCAGTTCCTTCAGTGCCACTCCGGTTCTGTTGGCTACCTGACATCAACACCTCCTTTACAAACTGAGACTGAGACACAGGTTCAGGAATATTCATAGACTGTTTACCTGTCCTCCCTGTGAATGTACACTGAGTACCGGTGTTAGTTTTTGAGTTTTTCACAGTATTGAAGAGACCCGATCTCATTTGGTGGGGAAGACGCTAAACTGACTATGGAATATCAGGATTGAGAATTATGTTATATTAACATGGAATGTTCCCCAAAACATATTTTCAAACTAAACATACAGTAAAAATGTCTGTGGTAATTTTTCATACAACAAGAGACCCCTCAGAATTAATTTTATTATGGGATGTGCCTATTCCAGTGAATGGAAGAAGAATAGACGGATGGAAATGAGTAGATCCGGCACTAGACTGAGATACAAGAAGCTGCCGTGGTGCAGAGGGAAGGAAAGGATTCGTAGGAACTGATGTGTGTCACAGGGGTTAGAGGGATGTGCTCAGAGAAAATGTATATACGTATTTTCAATATAATAAGATTGAATTTTAAGGGTTACCTTAAAACAACACCAGGTATTGATCACCCACTCTTATATATGGCATTTGAACAATTCCAGAAATAAAATTCATCGTTACGGTGTGAGGATTTGATGATTATGACATAAGAACATAAAATATTCCCAGGGAATGCTCATGAAGAACTTTGAAAGTAATTTTAAATAGGATAGCCTGTGATGCCAGCCCTCAGGAGGCGGAGGCAGGAGGATCACCAGGAGTTCAAGGCCAGCTTAGACTACATAGTGAGTCCAAGTGCAGCCTGCATTACAAAGTGAGGACCTGTCTCAAAAAACAACCCCCTCCCCGAAAATTCAATAGTTAAGGCCCAGGGAATTTTACAAAAGAAAACACGCGGTACCCGGGCATGATCTAGGGCTACATTACATTGTTCCTGGAGTCTGGAAATTGAGAGGCAGTAGGTCATAGTCCAGACTTTTTCAAATATGAATCTGGATATTTCAGTTGAAGTATTTTGTAACCTTGTATATAAAATGTTGGTTACTAGGTCTAAGGCCTAAATTTGTATGTTATTTTAAAATACAAAATATATGAGATATGAACATGAAACATTTTCACAGAATACTGCAGGAGAACTTTGAAAGTAATGTTACACAAGACAGCCTGTAACCCCAGCACTCACAAGGCAGAAGCAGGAGGATCTCTAGTCCAGGATGCCACTGGACTCACGGGAAAGCCCAGACTGGACTTAAACTCCTGGGTTTGAACTCCTGATCTTCCTGCGCCTACCTCTTCCTCCTTAGGAGGTTTTTATTTTTACTAAAACTCGTCAAAGCTTCACCAAAATCTTGTACCTGATAGTTTTGTCTCCCTATATAAAAATAGCTCAAGCTGGGGATAGTCCCACACACACACTCTGAGGTACTCCAGAGGCAGAGACAGGAGGGTGGCAGGTTCTTGGCCAGCGTGGGCAACACATGATGAGACCCTGTCTCCATGTGAAACATAAAAAGGGCTGGCTAATAGCTCTCTGAAAGAATCCCTCTCGGAGCATTCCTCAGTACTCCCCACAACCAAAAATTTTAAAAAGATACGAAGTAGCATAAAACACCATATAATACATTTTTCACACTGTATGGATGTTGAGGCTTCAAAACCCAAAGGCTAAGTCCAGAGGTTGAAATGGGAGCCGCCTACTCCTGTTTGCAGTAGGCCCTGGAAATTGCCATTAAAAGTACATCAGTTGACTGAGAAATGTCAAGGGCCAGGTTTGGTTTGATTTCTTCACCTTAGTGGATGGATATAAAGGAGAAAGCAGAAAGAGATGCGCTCACCTGAACAGTCCCTTAGCATCTGAGACTAACTGTCAGTGTTGCCAAGGTCCTGCCAAGTAAGTGACAGCATGCTGGTGACATCACAAGTGTTGCTTGGCAGCCATGCAAATGAGCAGGTTTCTCACTCCCCATTGGCTGGGCCACTCCTCATCCCCACTAGAAGGCTGAGATGTACTTTAACATGTGTATTATTGCTGCTCTCCCAACAGACTTTTTCCTCCAGTTTCTGAGGTGTAAGGTTAGCTCTGTGACTTGGGTGTTCTGTTCAGTCTTCGCTGAGGTGGTTCGGGTTTGCAAGTCATTATCACATCTGGGTCCTAGTGGGGATGAGGGTCTGCAGGCCCACTTTCTTTCTCTATCCCATGGAGACCAGCAGAGGTAAGAGGGAGCAGGAATAAGCTGGAAGCCGCAGGGTCTTTTGAACTCATCTTGGAAGCCACCTACCTTGCATTGTGTGTGCTAATGTTCACACACTCCAACCTTAGTACAGGGTGAGAGCGAACTTGACAAAGGTGTGGGGGCAGGGAAGCAGGGACCAGGGGCAAGCAAGCTGTTTGTTTTATGTGGTTCTGGGGATTGAGTGCAGGACTTTCTCACTGAGCTGCCTCCCCAGCCCTTTTAATTTAGTATATTTGGAGATGAGTTATCCCTAACTCTCCCCAGTAGTAGACACAGGTGCTAGTGACTTTGCCTCCCTGAGTACTGGGATTTCAAGCAAGTGCCACCACGCAGGCTCCTGGTATCCTTCTTGAATCTAGTTACTGACATATCCTAAACTATTTCACTTGTAATTTCTAGGCTACAAAGTGAGCTCAAGGCCAGCCTGAACTGCACAGTGAGATCTTGTCTCAAAAAGACAAAATATATATATATATGTGTGTGTGTATATATATATATATATATATATATATATATATATATATATGAATCTGAGGCACTGCTCACAAGATTGGGTCCAAGTGCCACACAGGGACAGTTTCATTCATATGAACAAGCATCCAGTGAAGAACAAAAATGTGTTTCACTGCAGTTATGGACAAAACCATGTTATGTGATACCTGATACAGTATACTTATTGATCTGGTCATTCATCCATCCAGCACAGATAGTACTTTTTCATCACTGCTGAAGACTGATATGGTCCTCGCATACTCTAGGTCAATTCTATAGCAGTTTGGACAGCCCTTGACCTTTTCATTTGTACTTTTTCATGTCATTTTTAAATTTGCTGTGGCACTTGTAAGAAAAAGAAAATTAAAGTGGTCCATTTTTTAAGACAAAATACTAGTCAACTTTGAGTGGAGAATTCCTGGCAGTTCAAATTGCCTGATGGCCCAATAACGTTCATGAATTTGAAGGTGTTCAAACAGACAGACCTCGGGGGAGAAATAAACTGGTGAAAAAGCCTTGGCTGGAAAATGTAGGTGAGATAGCTCTGGCTAAAAAGGAACAGGGGGAGGCTGGGGATTTAGCTCAGCGGCACAGCACCTGCCTGGCAAGCACGAGGTCGTGAGTTCGATTCCCGCTTCCAGAAAAATAAATAAATAAATAAATAAATAAATAAATAAAAAGGAACACGGGAATCACAGGGTCACATGAAATTTCTAAACACCAACATCTGCTTCTCAAAAAGTCCTAGAGACCAGAAACGATGATGAAGAAATCCAAATTCAGATTGGGAGGAGGACAAAGGAACTGCCTTAGAAAGAGAAAAAAGAAGACTTAAGTGGCATCTGGAAAGCTCGTACCCACCACAGTACTCAACCAATGAGGAACCGTAGTGAGGGACCTGTGTGCTAGGAAAGAATTCCTTGCTGGGAGAGCCCTGGGTGGGCCTTGCCTGCGCAGCAGACTCCTAGCCTTGCAGGATGGATTAAAGCCACGCTGTCACTACTCTTCTTGCCTCTGAGTCCATTCTTTGGGTCCGGGCAAGTGAACCCATTTCTCACATACTGGAGACTGAATCTAGTACCTCCCACGTGCTAGGCAAGTGATCTGCTACTACGTTATATCTACAGACTTTCTAGTGCAAAACCCTTTAAAAGTTTGAGGGAGAGTCTCCTTAAATTGCCCAGGTTCCTTTGCCCTCTTCCTGCCTCAGCTTCTGGTGTAGCCCGGGTAACAGTGCCGATGACCTTACCTGGCCACATCATTATCCAAATGACAGCTCAGCAGAAGCCTCCTCAGATACTCTTACTCCGTCCATGTAACTGCTGTGCTGCCTTGCAGCCTTCCCTCTCCTACTCTACGTGTCACTTTATTTGTGACCCTTATTTTCTGCTTTTTTAAAAATCTCTTTTCTTTCTTTCTTTCCTTCTTTCTTTCTTTCTATTTTCTATCTTTTTGGTGTTGGGGATCTCAGCCTGAGCCTCACCCATGTTATTGTTCACTTTATCTTTCAAATTGATGACCCAGGTATTTTATTAAACAGTATTCTGAATGTTTCTAAGAAGGTGTTCTTGGAGAAGATAAACATTAATTTGGGTTGAATTTGGGGGCACAGTGGTACCTGGCTGTAATCCCTATACTCAATATACAGAGGCTTGATGACTGCAGTACAAGATCAGCCCAGCCAACTCAGACTCTGTCGCAATCTGTCTCAACCATATAAAAAGGACGAGGAGCACCGGGGATGAAGGACTATTGCGAGTTTGAGGCCAGCCTGGGTTACAAAGTAAGCTCAAGGCCAACCTGAACTGCATAGCGAGACCCTGTCTCAAAAAAAAAAAAAAAAAAAAAAAGACTAGGGTTGTACCTCAGTACTAGAATACTACAGATCTACAGCCTGAGTACTAACAAAACCGAAATAGAACAAAGTATAACCCATATGCAGTACCTCCTTGTAAAAACAATCACAAGGTCTTCAATGAGATAGTAAAGTTAACCCAAAATGAGCAGGTGTGATGTCACCCATTCATAATCCCAGCTACTCAAGATTACTTAAATTCAAAGCCAACCTGGGAAATTTAATGAGATTAGCTGAAGGGATGCGCTGGGCGCAATGGTGCACGCCTGTAACCACAAGCCTCCAGGAGGCTGAGGCAGGAGGACTGCAAATTGAAACCCAGTTTAGGTTACTCAGTGAGAACCAGTCTCAAAATAAAAAATAAAAAAAGGCTGAGGATGTACCACCTTGGATTCAATTCAAGTCCATGGATTCAATTCCCAGTACTACCCATCCTACAAATCTTGAAAACATAGCTTAGTGCAAGGCCTTAGGTTTAATCTCCAATGGGGCCGGGGGTCTGGGGGGGGTGGGGGATAAAATGGGTCCTAAATCTAAATGTAAGAGCTAAAGCCATAAAACTCTTAACATAAAAAAGAGTAAATTCTGTGACCTTAAATTAGATAATAGTTTCTTAGATATGATGCTAAAATCACAAATGACAAAAAAAAAAAACCTAGATTTCATCGAAACTAAAAGCTTTTATTTCAAGTAACAGAATCAAGGAAGAGAAAAAAGTCAACTCACACAATGGAGGAAAGTATTTGAATATATATTTCTTCAAGGAAGAGGTACAAATGGCCAAGAAGCCCTTGGAAAGAAATACAGCACCACCAGGCGTGGTGGCACACACCTGCAACCCCAGCCCTCGAGGAGCTAAAGGTCACTGTGACTTATAGGCCAGCCCAGGCTACATAGTGAGACCTTGTCTCCAACAAACAAACAAAAGCTGCTCAGTGTCCGCAGTCTTCAAGGAAATGCAAATGAACGGAGTGAGGTATTACTAGACTCCCCCAGTCCCATGATGAGTTGCTTTTTTTGGGGGGGGGGGGTAAGGGGAATTGAACTCAGGGCCTCATGCTTGCCAGGCAGGTGCTGTGCTGTTGAGCTATATCCTCAGCCCATGAGTAGCATTTCTAAAAAAGACAATAGGGGCTGGGGATTTAGCTCAGCGGCAAAAGCGCCTGCCTAGCAAGCGCAAGGTCGTGAGTTCGGTTCCCGGTACCGGAGAAAAACCAAAAAAAAAAAAAAACCAAAAACTAAAAAAGACAATAAGGGTTGGGAAGGATGTGAAGACATTTGATCTCTCATATAGCTGGTGTCCAATGTGGTAAACAGCTTGGTGGCTCCTCCTAAGATGCTCACCGTAAAGTGATCCTATGAGCCAGCAATTCTTTCCTAGGTCTATTCCAAGAGCATTAAACCCTGCATCTCAGCCTGTTTGTGCTGTTGTAATAACGGAGGCTGGGCAATTCGGAAAGGATACAAATTTATTCTGTCACCATTTTGGAGGCTGGCGAGCCCGAGATCAAGGTGCCACCATTCAATGTCTGCTGAGGGCTGCTGTCTGCTTCCAAGATGGCGCTAGGTTGCTTCACCCTCGCTGGCAGAAGGAGGAAGGGCAAGAGGGCTTCATCTACCTGGGGCCTTCCTGGGAGGGCTGTCCCCTCAAGCTCTGCCCTGTCACACAGTCACTTCCAGAGGCCACACATCTTCTTCCCTCCCTCTCTCTCTGCCTCCCTTCCTCTCTCTCTCTTTTTCTCCTCTCTCATCCTCTTTTTCTTTCTTTTCCTTTCCTTTTCTTTCTTTTTGTGTTTTTCAGAGCTAGGGATCAAGCCCAGGCTTCACACCTGCTAGTCAAATAGTTTGCCTCTGATCAACACGCTCAACCAACAAAGCAATATGTCTTAATAGCGTTGTTTTAGAGATTTTGAATGTAAATTAATAAATGTTAGGGGGAAGCTGGGAGTGGTGGTGCACGCCTGTAATCCCAGCATTCTTGAGGCTGAGGCAGGAGGATGGTTGTGAATTCAAGACCAGCCTGGGTTACAAAGTGAGCTCAAGGCCAGCCTGAACTGCATAGCAAGACCCTGTCTCAAAAAGACCAAAAAAAAAAAAAAAAAAACCACCCCAAAAACTCCTTTGTTGAGGAACAGTTTTGCTTGGTGGCCATCCATTCTGAGAACTCAGCTATGAATTTCACTGAAGGTTCTTTGCATGTGGGAAGTTATCTTTTTCTTGCTGCTTTCACAGTTGTCTCTGACTTTTGATAAATTGACATGTCCAGTGCACCTCTGGTTTATCATATTTGGAGTTCATTAAACTTGAATGTGCCAACGAATTTTTTTTTAAATCAAACTGGCAAAGTTTTCTTCCTTTATTTCTACAAATATTATTTCTGTCCCCTTTCTTTGTCCTATCCTTTTGGGGCACTCATTGATGAGTTTGACAGCATACCACAGGCCTCTGAAGCCTGCTCATTTTTTTCTTTCAGTTGCTCAGACTAAATATTCTCAATTGACCTGTCCACCACACCCATCCCTCTGAAAAGGAGCTATTACGACATCACCAGTTAAACAAAATGGAGAGATTTCTCACTATTAGACCTGTCCTGCAAAAATAAAACTGAAGACTGCTTGATGGAAATGAGTGTTTTGTCCAGTTCAAATCTGCTGAGCCCCTCCAGTGAGTGTGTTGTTTTAACTACTGAGCCTATAGCTCAAGCTGGCCTTGAACTCACTATGTAGCCCAGGCTGGCCTCAAATTGCAGTGATCCTCCTGCCTCAGCCTCCTAAATGATGGGATTAAAGTGTGCACCACCACGCCTGGCTCATCCCAGAGTTTTACACTGTTGTTTGCTGTTGTCGTTGTCTATTTGTTTGCTGAATTTTCTGGACTAATTCTGTGAAGTCTCCTTTTTTTTTTTTTTTTTTTTGACAAGGTCTCGCATGTATTTCAGGCTGGCTCTAAATTCAAAGCTATCCTCCTTGCCTCAGCCTCCTGAGTGCTATGATTACAGGTGTGCACCACCACCCCAGGCCAAGCCTGTTTGCTTATCTTGGTGGTAGAGTGATAACTGGACAGAGATCTTAACACCTCGGAGAGGCTCAGTGTGTAGGGCCCGGAGGGCCCCTCCCACAGCCAGCAGGCAGCTAGCAGCTCTGCCTGGGGCTTTACTACCTGCCTGCACAGAGCTCCCCTTTCCCAGACCAGAGTCTCAGGACCCACCATCCCAGGAGCTTCCCAGCAAGGGCTCCATCCTGCACAGACCCTCTGCTGCCTGCTGGACTCTTCAGGACATGCAGGAAAGTCCTCCAAGCCTTCCAGGGACATCTAATTCCCCCCGCCCTTTTTTTTTGAGACAGGGTCTCTCTATGCAGCTCAGGCTGGCTTTGAGCTCACTTGGTAGCCCAGGCTAGCCTCAAACTTGCAACGATTCTCCTGCCTCAGCCTCCCAAGTGCTGGGATTACAGGCATGCGCCACCACGCCCGACTCCCCATTTATTTTTGAAGTTTTTGGGGGAGAAGCAGGGTTACAATCCTCCTGCTTCAGCCACACCCAGCTTCCTTTTCAGATTTTTGGTTTGGGATTGTTTTGGCTTGCTTAGTCTTGTTTTGCTTTGCTTTGCTTTGTCTGTGGCTCTCTGGTGTGCCCTGACTGCTTTTTCAGACAGCGACAATGCTGGGGAATGGGCTGTTAGGGTCCTCCAATCCCAGTCTGCCTCTCCCGGGAGCCAGGAGAATGCTCACTTCCTGAGCTGCCACAGTCACAGTCCTGCTGCTTTTTAAGGCTGCAGGGAATCTGACACAGAGGGGCGGCACTGGGACAAACTCAAGTGCCGCAGAGATCCGTGCTTTCCCGGGAACTGGCTGCTTTATTTGAATCCGTTCTCTTCAGATCCCTGTAAGCCTTTAGGTACTTTCCAGAGCTCAGGGAAGGTTAGATTTGACACATTTTTTCCACTGTTTCGGTGGAGGAGTGGGGTGTTCCTAGATTCTTGCTCCACTGTTCACTGTTCTGGACTGTTGCCTCCCATCCTTTTTCTTTCCATTTTTAAAGATAGAATCCTGCTATGTTGCCCAGGCTACCTCAAACTCCTGGGCTCAAGGCAAGACTCTTGCCTCAGTCTCCCAAGTACCTGGGATTACGATCAGCTCAACTTCTTTACTT